AGGGAATTCTTCTTTCAGCTGTCACAGGACGTTGGTGAGACTGCACCTAGAGTTCAGTGTATATTTTTGTCTTGTAACTTAAGGAGAGCAATACTTATATTAGAAGCAGTTCATAGAAGGATCACCAGAGAGTGTTGGAAGCTAAATCAGTGAGTCTTTCTGACTTAGGCGGATTTTTGATAGAAAAGGACATTGAGTATAATTAAAGGCTGTGGGAGGACAGACAGGCAAGTGGAGTTAGGGCCATAATCAGATTAGCCATGATCTTCTTGAACAGTGAAGCAGTTTCAATGGGCCAAATGGTCTTCTTCTGCTCCTATTTCTTACGATCTCATGATTGTGATCAGAACCAAATTCTCTAGTGCTGCTGTGAAAAACCTTGAAGCTTGTTTTGTGCCCGATTACACCATAGTTCCTCTTCTTATAGCTTTGATGTGCTTCCTCATTAACTTTCAGCATTAACTCAGTTTAATCTCTCTCAATTTTCCATCTCCTGTCCGGTTATGAAGGCCCTCAACAGCATGTCTGATGATGCTGTGACACTGCAGTCATGTGAATGTGCATTTTGTTTATGAATGAAGCAACAGGTGGTGTTAATTGTATATTCTGAACCTCTGAGCCTTTTACAGGGCTTTAGAATTTCACAGAATTGAGCACTTGACTGATTACTCCATCTTTAAAGTGAGATTGCTTGGGCCAACAGCACTATATCTAGAGTCATGCAGGCTGTTTGCAATTAGCACCAACTACCCCTTTTCCTCTTGGGATCTGCTGTTCCATCACCCAGGATTGTGAGTTAACAACAGTGGTAGAACAGCAATTGAACCAGGACCCCTTGTTCTGTTTGTAGGGCAATACACTGAAAGTAAGGAGACCATTTTGTGGTTTATTGAAAATCATCACAGCTGCAGGTCCTAAATTGCTTTGAATGTACAAATAAAATAAGTAGTCATAATTTGTTGCATAGATAAAGACAGCTATTAAAATGAAACTAAGGTGTAAGATCATAAAAGATTGCATAATTATGAACATTTAAGTCTACAAATTTTTGGAGATCTTGTACAGCATTAGGCAGCATCTCCTGCCACTGAGTCAGAATCTCTGGGTTCGAGACCTACTCCATGACCGATGATAAAGGAAAGAATATTTGAAATATGATTAATCGGGTTGACTACTAACTTGTAAATCCCACTACCATATACCAACTGCAAATGATAAGAATGGGAGAGATTATTGGTCAGCCATGCGATGCTAAGAACCTAGAGCCTCAATCATCACCACCCAAACCTCCAGGCTACAACATGCATGCAAAAGTGTACATTGGTGCAACAACTTTCATTCTTTGGGGAAGCTTGCTCTGTTGGCTGGACAACTAATAGGAATCAGATATATGCAAGCGGGCACGGGTTTTGATCCCTGTTCCAACTAAAGTGGACTCAGGACGTGTCTCCTTGACCGAGCCATGGTGGAGATCATAGTGGTGTGGGTTGGACCTGCTTTCAGGCAGCAAAGTGGAGAATTATTATTATAATTGGTGTCTCGCAATTCATGATGGTTTTGAATGGGATGCTCATAAAATTGTCATTCAACTGGGTAAGGAAGGATGAACTGGCTCCCATTCTTTATTCTACCCCTCATTTGGTAGGTTATAGCAGAGCCAATTAAAACTCTTTCCTCATGAATAACCTCTCCCAGCCCAAAAGTATTTATGTTATAAAAGGAGCCAATTTCACCAGCTTTCTTGAGTTAGAGAGTGAGTTTAAAGCAATTAAAGCACAAGATGATAAATCACACAACACACACATTGTTTAGAAATGAGATGAGTCCAAAAAGTAAATGTTAAGAAAAATATACAAATAAGTTTTTGAATTGTCCATGATGAATGGATTGTAAAAGTGTATTGTAGCTGATAAGGGGATTTCAGTATTGCCCGCTTTGGCAGTTGAGTACTTGTTTGGGGATTCTTGGTTCTGCAGTTAGCTGAAAGGAGTTTGTCTAGTTTCTTTAAACAGTGACTCTGCTGATAACTTGCTATCAGCAATCAGAGGAGACAAGACTTTAACTCTTCTCTCCTGCACATACAGGGATGTCTAGTGGAAGTTGTCAGCTTGACTTCACATCATACTTTAGCACAGTGGAACTGAAGCCCCGAGCGAGCACACCAGCACACACACTCTCTCTCACACACACACACACACACACACACACACACAATCTCTCTCCCCACCCTCCCCCTCCCACACACACACACTATTTCTCTCTTCCCCTCCACACACACATACACACTCACTCTGTTACCCCCCTTCAAACACACACACACACAGACTCACTCTCTCTATCGCTCACAAACACATTCTCCCTCACTAACACACACAGTCCCTCTCTCTCTCTCCCTCACCACACACACACAAACACACAAACACAAACACAAACACAAACACACACACACACACACACACACACGTAAATCTATGGGGTGAATTTGTATTTGCAGATATATTCTATTTTGTTCAAAAAGCTTACAATTTATAGATGGTCAGTCAATGTGGTGTTTTATAAATTCCTACTTTAAAAATAAAACCAGTCTGACTCCAAGCCAAAACACAAACAGATTCTAAACAAGGCCTCACACCTTACATGCATTTTCTGACCTAAAATGGTTCCTCTTCTTTTCACTGATAAAACCTTTTGTTCTCTCAGGGCAGTGACTTGAAAGAAATGTGGGGATTTACATATACATATTAATTAATTAAAACCTTCTAACTGATTAAAGATTTAACAGTATCTTAGATTTACTTAATGCATCCTCATCAGTGGTGTGAATTCTGTGCCTGATGCTACCTCTCTCTCTGACACCTGAAGAAGGAGTGAGGCTCTGAAAGCTTGTGTTTACAAATAAACCTGCTGGACTATAACCTGGTGCCATGTGATTTCTGACCTTGTTCACTCCAAACCAACACCGGCATTTCCACATCATGACTAGCACACTAGCACACAGAAACCAGGGATTGTAACTGTTATGTAAATGCCTTTCTTAAATATATTCCAAAAAGGATAAAACACAAAATTGTGTTTCAGCCAGAATTTCCTTTCTTTCAACTTATACCATGTCTGCAATCTGCAACACAACACACATGGGAAGATTTTCTACTGAGAAGGCTAATCAGCTCCTTATTGTCCCTGGATCCACAAGAGATCAGAGGTTATTTTCTTTTTGAATGGCCTCTCTCCCTTTGAGTTGCTGTCTGAACTTTCCTTGACACTCTTCTGGTGGGATATCTCCTGGTGCCTCAACGGACTGAATGATTCACACAGGGATATTACAGACAGTCACCAAATTCACATTCTCAACTGTCTTTTGGCTTGTATGTAGTTCTTTGAAAGACACACATGGTACTTAGCAGTTTAGTATATCTATAACTAATTTATGGTTATAATGTTTGTCATGACAGTATAAATAAATTACACTAAGTTGCAAATTGTGGGTCCCCTAATTTACAGAATTAAAATAAAAGGTCTACCACTATCTAGGGGTCACATTTTGTATTAAAGTGCAGAAACCATATGTTGTCAGATGGAATTCCTTAAATATTCAATCATTTGCATACCATTTCTGAGTTTATTATGAAACGGACTGGACTGCCTAGTGATCTAATCCTTCTGTATTTGATTTGCAGATGACTAAGTGGTGACAGGACAGAAAAACAGACAATATCTACAAATAACCTTCAATTCATTACAGTTTTACTTTTGCAAACTTCCCGCTATTTTTATTTAAATATACAACCTTAATGAATATAACGTGGAGTTCCAGGATTCAAGAAGCAGTGACAACAAAGCCTTTGAGAGCATGTCTCTAAAAGTGATTGACGGTGTGCAACGTTTGGGAAAATTATTTGTTTTAATGAACCTCAGATCCTATTTACCAACATGTGGCAAGTTGCAAAACTGTTGTTAAATGCAATGTGAGATAACAAGGTGTAGAGCTGGATGAACACAGCAGGCCAAGCAGCATCAGAGGAGCAGGAAGGCTGACGTTTCGGGCCTAGACCCAATGCAATGCGTTTTGTTTTAACTTTGCGTCCGACAACGGATTGTTGGTGCGTTCTGAAGTGGCTCTCGCTTTCTATCTCCCCCCAGTGCTATCAAACTATTTAACACTGCGGCCATGCCACAATTAGTCGAGTGCAATCGCTTTATTTTGTGCATGACACAAATAAAATGGCTTTTCTCCAAGGCAGATAATGTTCGCAGAACACAGTGGATTACGTGCGAAGGGAGGACTGCAAAGACACACACAGGGAGTCGTTTCTCATGACAGGCAGCCCCCGGTACTAACCCCAACCTGCATCTGAATTCTTGTCCAACTCGATAACACTCCTTAATGATTTAATTATGTTTTACTGCAATTTTTTTTCTCTATCAACCTATCATGAATTTCATTACCAGTCTCCTAAGTCGTGTTTTAGAATGTGCATTTCGCCGAATATGTTATTTTGTTCTCCAGGGTTCTATGACACTAATTTAGCGTTCTGATGGTCAGTATTGATTTGCACCAAGTTTGCCAAAGGAGTGGAAGTAAAGTTATTGCCTTCCTTGTGTGTGATGCGCCCTCACTGAGCCTCCAGTATGTGCAGGATATTCGCTGGTTGAAATCTCTGCATCAGATCACAAGTGCGAAGAGGGTTTATTAAAGGTGGGGGTGCTGTGCTGGAGGCCGGTTAAAATTCGGCCACCCGTTCGCCACATGATTGATCCGCTCTAAATGGTTGTCCTGTGTGCGCGCTGTGCATGTGTGCAGCGGCCCTGAATCCACCCGGCCATCGCTGCAGACCCTGAGACTGTCAGGGGGGGTCGCTGCTGAGTTACTCTGATCTCCTGCAGTAGATTGGAGCTTGGCCACCTGAGGGATTTCAGAAACGATAAGTTACACTTGGCGGAAAACGAAAGTGTGAACATTAAACTCTGGGGCACTGTGTGGTCATTAGACTGTCAGAGAGACTTGGGGATATGACTTCATTGTCTGCAAGTGTGCTGCCCAGAAATTCACACACACAGTCCTTCACACAAGGTGCTCGATTTTCTCTGGTTGTTTTGTGTTAAGTAGTGGATTTTGAAAGAGAAAGAGAAAAAAGTCGCTGACCTACCAAAGTTAGTTGGAACTACACAATTGAACTGATTCTTTGATCCGAGCTGCTTGTGCTCCTGAGCACCTCGGGTATACTCCAGCCCGTTTGAAAAGCGGAGGACTGTGCATTGTGTGAACGCGCTGTGGAACTGGACCGGCTTCCCTGGCAGAAAGAGGACCAGTTATTAATAAAATAAACACCGCAGCGTCAACAGCTCCTGGTAAGTCATTCCTTCAGGTTAATAGGATAAGAGAGCTCCGATTTAAAATCTCTCTGCTTGATTGTCATTCTTGGAAACAACCTCGAACGCATGTGTAAACTCATTTGATATTGGTAACAGTTGGAGCTGTGATTGGCAAGTGACCAATATTCCGATGCAGTTATTCTGAGGCATGAATGTAAGTTGCATTGGAGAGTGATTCGTTATATGTGCATGCATGAATATCATGTATTTTGCCAGTATGTCACTTGCAGTCTTAGTATTGAGAAACTTGGGTGCAGTGTCGAAGTGATTTATTTCAAACCTTCGTCAGCTTTCGCCAGCAACATACCGAGAGTGTTGCCAGAAAATGCTGGATGACATCTCCAGTAACTCAGGCGAAGTTGCATCAGAAATAAAAAGTCCTCACTCGTTCACTGGAAGCAGACTTCAAAAATAGAATATTCTTCTGCATGTCAGGCCGATCAGTCAGAGGGATCTGTAGTTTCTCGCCCGTACAGAAGGTCGGCTTCAGCAGTGATGGAAAGAGTTCCTGCCCAATAAAAGAACTGTAATATCACATCTGAAAGAGATACCGAACTGTAGTCATCAATCTTTGTTTTAATTTAAAACTGAATGAATGCCAATTAATCCTGACAGGAAATCCTACCTGAATATTATAGACAGTCACTGAAGTTGAACTTAGGGAACGTGTAAATGGGTATTAAAATGATCCCACATGGAGGTCTAGTGTAAGAGAAACATTGTCTAAGCATAGTTGTTTCGAGGAATTACATTGAAAAGGCACAAATGCATATTTCATGGCATAGCAATTAAAGCGTGAAATCCACGGGCAGTCTGCGCTGAGGGGTGCGATCATGTCTTAGTGTCGGATCTATAAGATTGATGTTTTAAAAGTTCAGTAGATGTAGGACGTCACCTCGTTAATATACCTTTAAACTTTACAGCCCAGGGTGGGGGGACGTGCAACGTAAGCCTTAAAGTGCCTGAGCGTAGGATGTGTGTGGAATGTGTTTAAAACTATGCAGTGATTTATTTTGGAAGGGAAAGTCAGGCGTGTTTGTGGGATTTGTTGCGCAGTCTGGTGTATCTTCCGACCAAATAAAACAAAAGAGGAAGGAAGGGGGCTGCACCTCCGCTTCAATTCAAGTGACGTTTTCCCTGTTTTTTTCGCTGTTCAAAAACACAGCGCCCGGTTTGCAGAGCAGTTCCGTGGAGACTTGTCCCCAAACCGTACGGAAGGATGAGAGCGAACTGGAGACTGACGGGCAGAGAGGAGCTGCGCCTGGTCCTTTACTGCGCGCTGATGTTCCTCAAGGTGGACGCGGGCAAACCCGAGCAGAGCAAGCGTAAGTGTGCAAGTCGGTGCCCTGCCTCATCCCTTCACACACTGTCCGAGGGTACGGTGGTCGGTGAGGGAGGGCGGTGGGGTGGGAGAGATAGTAACTTCTCTCCAGCAGCAACAACAGATACAAGCACATGCCTTCAAAGCAAGGTTCATGTCCGCGGAGAGAACTCACCCCGAACTGCGAAGGGCTTATTTATAATTTCAAGGATTCCGAACTGTTATTGTTTCATTCTGTTCGGAGCCGGGCAGACGGCTCCCACGGCTACGGCAGAGTGCAGAAGCCAATTGCTCATCTTGAAACCAGCGCCCTTATGAGAGGCGGGCTGCAATTAACCCGAACCCCACACAACTGCCCCTAAAGCAATGTTCTTCACCTCATCCGCAACCATAGCTATCTGTTCCTGATCTAACCCGCCCCTCTCGACAAAACTATCGATCCCAGTGCCACCCCCGCCCCGCAGCATTATTGCTGGTATTTGTCCTTTCCAATCCTTGGCGGTTCTGCTGTCCTTATACCAAGCTGTAAGGCAATATGTAGACAACTGCCGCAATGTTTATCTTTATTGGCCGCTGAGCTTATTGTACCACTTTGCTCTTTTCTATCACCAAACATGCAAAACCACCCAATTTCAATAACAAACCAGCTTTCTAACTACAACCACCATTGCTACTTTACACTATCGCCTCAACTCTACATGATTCTACTCCTGCTTAAACTGATAACACGAATGTGCCTTAGTTTCCCATCAGTTTGGACTCAGACTTGAATGATGTGTCCCGCTTTACCGGCTTTATCCACGAGGAATGATTGATTTTCACTTCGATCTAATCCGGACTCGCTATAGCTTGCTGCTATCTGTGGCCCTCATCTGAAATAATCGCTGTAGTTCCTACCAACACACTCCTCCATCGCAAGTTATGCTAACTCTTACCCGAAACTAATATCAGGGATTCTGTCTGGTCAGAGCTATTGCAGAATTTTGATGTTTGACACAAATGCCATTCAGTTTGAACTTGATTGAACTTGTATTTTTTTTTGGGCGGGGTGGGGGGAATGCGGTTCCAACGTTGAAAACAGCACATAAAGATGGAAACGTGCGGGCTTTGACATCTATAACACACACTGTCCTTTGAGAGCCAGTCTTGTCTAAGGGATGAGTTTGGCTGTATCAGTGTGGGGAAATAGCCGGTGTTGGGGTCAGGCAGAATGTTCCAAAGGCGAAGTACTGCGGATGCTGTGATTGTCGGCATTCAGTCTCGGCTCTAAAAGTGCTGGTTAGCTCCAGCTAACGTGTTTCAGTCTGCAAACTAACCGCAATAGTCGGCTGCTGATCTGAGGGAACAGAAAACGAACCACATTCCTGGGCGAGTGATTGAAGTCCCATACAAGCACGTTTTAATTTTCCCTAGCTGTGTAGAACATGTGCGCGAGAACCCATCCCCTACCTCATTTCAGATAAAAGACAGGTTGTTCACAACAGAAAGTGTTCTAATATTGTCCAATCGCTCGGAGAACCAAGACGGGGCATTTTAGTGTCGCTGTCCATTGCTACATCACATCCGACTGGTCTTCCACATTTTACTCTTGCATGACTTGTGTTTTGTGGTTAGACACTAGATTTAGTCTGCAGATATCTCAAGCTGGTTACTTGAAGTTTTCTCATCATTCGGCTTCGGTGTTAATGAAAAGCAGCTATCAGCAGGTCAGTATTCACATGAAACAAGGCGCTGATTGCCCCGTTGTTCCATTTCCCTGAACAGAGTCCGACGCGTTTTGCGTGTTCCAGGATAAGAAGTACCGCTTGGGAGAGAGATGGCACCCTTACCTGGAGCCCTATGGATTCGTGTATTGCATAACCTGTCTCTGTTTGGAGGTACATTAGCATCATCGTTTTCTTCTTTAAGGGTCAGAGAGTCTTGGCGTAAACGTGTAAATCAAGTGTGTAGAAAGTCAGTGTTTACAGCCAAACAGAACCAGACTGGAGCTCTCTCATTCTAGAAATCCCGGTCGTGTGAACGTTATAGGTTTGAGGGTAACAACTCGAGCTTGCTAACAGCGTCCAAGTGCGGCTAATGTTCAATCAGCAAAATCATGCAGAGGTGCAACTTAGGTCAATTTTTGGTAGACTTGCTTTAAAAAAAAAATGGAGTTCCGAGAACCATAATCCAAAAATTGGCCTCACCCCTTGATTGTGATGGCTTTTGGCGACGTTAGAATTGATGGAACAATGTGGAACTCAGTAGAGAGTTTTCTCTGCGATGTTCACAGAAGGGTTCGGTGAAATCAGTGAAGAGATGGAAGGGAGGTTCTGAGATCTGCTCAGCAGTTTATCACTTCACCGGGAATGCACCGCACAAACTTTACCGTGGCTAACTTTTCACAGTTGACAATTACAACAAAGCGAATAAGTCAGAGATGAAAATATTTACAAACATGATGCGTGTTGCAAAACAATATTCAACTGGAAATGACTGCTGCAGCGGAGGAACTTCCAGTTTTTAAGAGATTATATAGAGTATTAGATGCAGATTAGATAAATTTACAACAACAAAGTTGCTGGAAAAGCTCAGCAGGTCTGGCAGCATCTGTGAAGGAAAAAAAGAGTTAACTTTTCGGGTCCGCTGACCCTTTCTCAGAACGTTCTAAGGGTCATCGGACGCGAAAAGTTGTCTGTTTTTTCCTTCACAGAAGCTGCCATATCTGCTGAGCTTTTCCAGCAACTTTGTTTTTGTTCCAGATTCACAGCATCCGCACTTCTTTCGGTTTTTAGATAAGCTTACAAAATGGGTTTTTTAATGACTGTGTAAACGCACGCTACCTTTTAACAATGAATCCTCGATGGTGGTGAATTGTAGATAGCCCAATTCAAAGCTGTGTAAAGTCCTTGGTGCAATCTCTGAATTTGTATTTTAACGACTAACAAAGGATTTACATTTCCAGAATGGACACGTGGCCTGCAATCGAGTGAAATGCCCGAATATCCACTGCTCCAGCCCAGTGACAGTCCCACAGCAGTGCTGTCCTCACTGCGTGCCAGGTAAGGAGGACACCACCTGCCTCTTCAGCATCTACTCAGTCAGACATGTCGGCGATTACGCGGCAGGTAGCTTGATCCTTATTCGATTTCATTTCATGGACCGGAGTTGGTGAGAGTTTGTCAATAATTCCACAAAGAAACATTGGGTTTATTCGTTTCCCTTTTAAAAATAGAAGATGAACTAAGTGAAATTAAACTGTAACCCACAAACAGTTTCTGATGTCCTTGATATGAAAGGCTGCCTACATCCCTGGTCTGTTCAGGGCACTTAGCACCCTGATTTCCAGACTCCAAATTTACACTGCAACTTTCGGCTAGTGTATAGGAAACACCTCACTGGAACTATTGTGTGTGAGTACGTTTTCTCACCACCTCGAATTTGCGTCCATTCATTGAACAGTCTGGATTGTGTTAAAACTTTGGATGAACTAGTACAAATAATTAGCTACCATATTCACGCATTGAACAATTCAATTTTTGTTTCATTTTGATACCAGATAGACAAGGTCTAATCTGCAGCCTGTAAACTGCATCTGGTAGGTGTTAGTATATATAGGTCAGTGTAAAATATGGCATAATATTATATATAAAATGTATAGAATAGTGAGATGTAACCTAATTGCACCATACACATATATGAAGCACCTCCTTACTAAACTTCTCCATTGTTATAAAACTGCTGAAAGTTATAGCTGCCTATGAAAGATTGTCAGGATTTTAAAAAGCTGAATTTTACTTCCTTAACTTTAATAAAAGACCCAGGATACAGAGTTTTGAACTTATAAGTAGCCAGCCACAAGGGGATATGATCATGTAAAGACTGAACATTACTTAAACTAATGTAGAAAAATATTGCTATAGAAGAACATTCAGTAGGGCTATGGAAGGTGATTTAAAGAATGGATACTGCCTTCTGACCAAGATATCATTTAAACAATCTCTATCAGAAGAGTCACCAAACCATATGCAGAACACCACTTTGCAAAATACCCATTCACTATCCCTATTACTTGCAGCTGGAAGTGCAAAGATGAGAATTTTGACTAGTGCACCCAGCTATCAAAGGATGAAAACCATTGCTGGCAGATTGTTCATTATTCTTTTAGGATAATATTTTTGAAGTGAAACATAAATTATCAGTGTTACATACCCATTTTACAATTATTTAGTTAATCTATCAGGAGATACACATCACAGATACATCCTGCATGGGGCTCCAAGAACATTGCTTTCCAAAAACAGTTATACATATACATATTGACATGTATGTAAAGATAAACTGGTTTCACTGGGTATAACTGGTGGAAATTAACTTTTCACCTCCTGTGCCTGTGTACAAGTCCAGCACAAACTGATGCACTGAAGTCAGTTCTGTCAATTGTTTCTCTGACCTTATTTTGAATGAGTTTGCATTGTTGCGTTCATAGCTCAAAATTGCTTCAGAATTAAGAGGTAATTACAATCGGGACAGACTTTTTATCTGTTTAAAAGTGCTCCCTGTTTTTGCGTATAAGCTGAGGAACAATTTCTAGCAAGCACATGTAGAAAATTAAATGTGAAAATCCAAAAGTTGCTGGTTATTTTACAAGCTCCTGTGTAAACTCTGCAAAAACAGTCTCTCACCGCCCTGGCTTGCCATACAAATTTCTTAGGTGACATGATGTTGAAACAATGGCATTGTAGACCAGAACTAAATTCTTTTTAACAGCCTGTCAAGTCTTAGTTAAACACCAGCAGCAAAGTAATTTTACAGGTATAAAATATCATTACTTCAAATTCAATTAATTTGAGGAACTTTTTTAAATCTCTTTTAATATAATCTTACTCTCCCTCCCTGTAGATTATTTTCTGTTCCTCATTTGTTATTGAATTCACTATTCTAAATTATATTTTCTGATTCTGACTCTTCACTACTCATTTAGTCTGATTGGATAAACAGATGTACCAGAAAAAAATTCTACGGATGCTGAAACTATAAGATAAACAGAAAATGCTGGAAGTATTCAGCAGTATGGTAGCATTTGTAGAGAGGGAAACAGAGTTCGTACTTCAGGTGTGTGCTCTTGCGTAATTTTCTGATTGCCAATTTATATTCTGAATTATGGTGCAATTTGATGGCAAGGAAAGTTCTCAAATACTTTAAAAAGATGCATAGGCTCATGAACATATGACAGTACATATGACAGAACAAATATGAAAACCATACAAAACATTCTGCAACAGTATGTATGGATAATCAAAAATATTAAGAAGTACTGTAAAATTTTCACATAATAAAACATCATTGATATCACAGATCAAAGTTTTTAAAAGAGTCAAATATATATATTATTACAAGGCTTTTTATAATGCATTTTTTCTTTTAGAGTAGCCATAGCTGTCTATATTGTGTTAGAATATAGCACCACAGATTGAGGAGATTAACACTGCATGGTTGAAAAATATGTAACATCAACCCTAATGTGAAGACACATAAAGACAGTGTGAGCTTGTTGGATGTAATTTCCCCATCTTATATTTAGGATCTTGTGTTCAAGCATTTTTTGAAAATAAAACTCGTATTAGCTTTATATTTAAAACAATTATTGGTGTTTCCAAAGTTTTCTGGCCCAGTTCTGAGGATAGATGGTGAAACATGACAAGTCTTGAAGGGGATTTGAAGAGGTTGTTTGGTTGGTATGTTTATTCTCATGGTGGCAAAAATGTGCCCATTTCTGGTGTCCATGAACAACCTAAATTAATAACCTCTTTTGAAATTAACAATTATAAAGACCTATTATATGTTTTCAGATGACACCATGAAGCTTAATAGCTCCTTTGGAAATAATGAAGTCGTGGTAAAATAGAGGTAAAATAACTGAAAGCTCCTGCTGTAACTTTTCAAAATAATTTCACATCCTGGCTCACTTTGAAAACATACTCAGCATATCTATGCATACTCCTACAAAAGATATGAATTTTATCTTTGTAGCAGAATGTTGAAGATTATTTAATTTAAAAATTTAAATTGTATTTTTAATCACATGGTAGAGAAGCAATGTGTCCAAATGGTAACCTCAACAAATATCCATAAATGTTACATACTACACTATCCAGGCTTGTGACTTTTGAGAGCCACATGCTGTTAATTAGCATAAATTCTTTTGGTGATTTGTGGTGCAGGCAAATGCAATAATTTATTTTAACGGCATTATAGGTACTAGATAGTCATGATTTTCATGTTTCTGTTGAGCGAGAACTGTGAAGCTTGACAATACATAGTATAACACCTATCTAGGGTGCAAAATACTCTGAATCTTCATTAAATGTAATATAATATACTAATCATTAATAATGTGCTGTATAGACAGAAATGTTTTGTAATATTGCTTCACTTAGGTAAAAATTAAAATTCTTCAGAACATTCTTCATCAAAAGAGACAATGTTACAGGAAAATAATCTGGGCATGGTGGACTGCCTCGGGAATCAAGGGATTATAGAGTGGGCAAGAAAGTGGAGTTGAGGTCCAAGATCAGCCATGATCATGTTGAATGACAGAGCTAGCAGAACAGACCATATGGCCTGTCTAGATCCTTCTCTTGTGTTCTTGCTCTTGGATTTAGACGATATGATCTTATGTGAGTTTGAGTCTGCATGCTAAATACAGTGCGTAGCCCAACCACTGTTTACTCCCCACCCCTTCGTCCCCGCCGATTATACCAGCGGTGTGAGTGGCATTGAGTGGTTAGTCTACCGGTTGCTAAATAAGACCCTTAAGTGGGAAATTGGTGCCAACTTAAGAGCCTTGTCCTACCCCTACTACCATATCACTGGCCATAAATGAAACCCACACCAAATGGCCAGTTTGGCAGGCATGGAGGGGCAGTCCCTCTTTAACTTGGCCCATCAGAGAGTTCCCAAGTTGTAACCCACACCCTGTGGGTTGTCCTCTCCTCATTGCCTCTCAAAATGCGACCCAAACCCCTCAGTCACTTCCAAACACTTTCAAATCTCCTATCCAGCATGATTTGGCTCATCACCAAGTGCAGTGCTGCAGTGTTACCACTGTTCTGCTGGTGCAATGAGATTTCAGCCTCTAAGGTGGACTTCCAGTCCCCGAGGGACAGAAGACCTGCTTCTACCCTGACTGCAGGTTAGATTACTCTTTCCTTGGGCAGGCTATCCCCATCACCCCAACCTGTCAACCAAAGTGACAGGGAACCACAGCATCATATTTAATTCATCCGCATGTGTGTAACTGCATGTACCATGTAAATATGTTTGTTGAACTGCAGGTACCTGACACTGTGTTGGGCTGTGACAATGATAGAGACAAAGCTCAGAGTATGGAACAAGATTGGGAACCTTCTATTATTGGATACAAGATATTCAGAAATAGGTTGGAATAAAAAGGGTGGCATTAAGAAACTATTATAGCCATATAGAGGGCTGACATAGTTGAGGAATCTAAGGTAGAACTTATTTGATTGCAATTAAAGAAGAATAGAAGATCTATTATGCTACTGAATAGAGAATTTGAGTATCAAATTACTGAAAGATGCAAGAACTATTTTGTAGTAATGAAGGGCTTTAATTATTCCAATATAGAGTAGAATAGTCACAAGTTAATAATGTAAGGAGAAAAAAAAACTTCAAATTGATACAGAGAAGCTGGTGACACAGAACAGATTAAGTTTAATGCAGAGAAGTGAGGAGTGGTAGGAAGAACAAGGAAAGATAGTATAATTCTCAAGGGGATGTAGGCATGAAGAAACCTGAGAAAATGTGCAGAGATCATTGAAACTGGTCTAAAATACATATGTGGTCCTAGGCTTTATAAATAGAGGCACACAGTACAAACATTAGGAGTTTTTGATAAACCTTTATAAAACACTGGTTTGGCCAAATTGGAGTATTTTTATCCAATTCTGTGCACTGAACTTTAGAAAGAATCTGAATGCTTTGGACAGGAATGCAGAAACTTTTTGTCAGAATAGTTTCAGACTTGAAGGACTTCCGTTACATTCATAAACTGAAGAAGCTGGGGTGCATTCCTTTGAGAAGGTAAAGAGGCAATTTGATAGAGATGTTTAAGATCATGAGATGTTAGGCCAGTGAAGATAGGAAGAAACTGTTCCTATTGATGAAAGGTTCAAGAACAGAGGGCACCCAAGGTTATCGACAAAAGAAACAAAGGCAGCATGAGGAAAGTTTCATTGATGTAGCAAGTGATTAGGATCTGGAATACATATTCAGTATAACACTACCTCCTACTTTACTGCTACAGTAACAACGCCCTCTTCTCTATTGGAGACAAATCTAAAGGATTTATTTAGTATACAATGAGACTGAAAAGGCAGATTCAATCAATCAATCAGTCTTTCAGACTGGGACTGGAGAAACAACTGAAGAAGAAAGAATTTGCAGGATTACACAGAGAGACAGGGCATGTGGGATTAGCTGAGTTGCTCTTTCAGAGGCTAGGCACAGATTTGATGAGCTGTTAACATTCTAAGAGAAATGTGTACTACAGATACGATTCCAACAATTTAGCTCAGGTTTGATAGAGTCAAACTTTCTCATGCAGAACAGTATGAATGCAGAACAGTATGAACAATGGGAAGCCTTCAAGGAAGAAATGTCTGGTACAGATGCAAAATACTGTAGGTGCTGGAAATTTGAAATAAAGTCAGAAAATGTTGGAAATACTCATCGGGTCAGGCAGTATCTGTGGAGAGAGAACCAGAGTTAATAATTCAGGCTGACAATTACCCTTCATGACAATGACTGTATTTTTGTGGTCAGAATAGCCTACAAGAGGAACAGGGATAACAGCCAAAAGCAGAGCTCCATAGATGATTAAAGATACAGGGTCAAAAATGAAGTAATCAAAAAAGTTTGTGACATATCTGCAGTTGCTAGAAAAAACATAATAAATAAATACACATTCAAGTAGAAAATAAAAAACAAAACAAAGTAGGTCTAGGATAGAATTATAAGATGGGCAAAGAGGAAGTGTCACAAAAAAGGAGTCCAAATATGTTTTGTACATGTAAGAATAGTAAAAATGCAGTCAAAGACAAGGTACGGCCAAGTAAGAGATGAAAAGGAGTTCTTCTGGTGAAGCAGAGGGCATGACTGAGGTATTAAATGAATACAGGATGCTGTCAGTGCAGCAGTAAAGGTGGATGGTAGTATACATAGTGGATAGAATTAATTTTTATAAAGGAGGAACGCAAAAGAATGGCAGCAATCAAAATAGAAAAGTAATCTTGTCAACTTACTGGTTAAAGGTAGAAATGGAGATTCCAGCCACAATCTTCCAATCATTCCTAGATTTGGTAATAGACCTAGAGGATTGCAAGATTTCAAATGTGGCACACAGGTTCATAAAATAAGGGTTGATCAATTCAACAATTCCAGGCCTTGGAGCAAAATTTTGTTGGTGTGGGGAAAATGACATTTAGGAAATTGTCAGTATATAAATGCAAGTCAGCACAGATTTGTTAAAGGCAAATCATTTTTGATAAACTTAACTGAATTCTTTGACAAAGCGGTCAATTGAGAGTTGTGTACGTGGTGTGATAATTGACTTTCCAACAAGTACTGCTTAATATTACATAATCTTTATACAAGTTTAGGGATAATAAAATATATATACAAAATTGGCAAAGATGCAGGAGGGGGAATGTTACTGAGTAGTAAGGGCTTTGGATGCTTGGAGAAGCTGTCCTCCTGAAAGCAGAGAAGGTTTAGAATTATAGAATCCCTACAATGTGGAAGCAGGCTAATTGGCCCATCAAGTCCATACCAACCCTATGAAGAGCATTCCACCTACCCTATCCCTGCATTCCCTATGGCTAATTCACCTAGCCTGCACATCCCTAGACACGATGGGCAGTTTAGCATGGCTAATCCACCCAACCTGCACATCCTTGGACTGTAGAGGAAACTGGAGCACCTGGAGGAAACCCACACAGGCAATCACCCAAGGGTGGAATTGAACCTTGTTCCCTGGCACTGTTAGGCAGCAGAGCTAACCACTGAGCCACTGTGCTGCCCTTGCTAGAGATCGTTAATAAATGATTTTGATAGAGAAACCTAGGAGAAACTTTTGCTGGAGTTAGTAAGGTCAGTAAGACACAGATGTAAGGTAATAGAAGAATTAGAGGAGATAAGTGATTTATTTTACATATCCAGTTGCCCTGGTCCGGAATGCCCAGTTGGAATGGGTAGCAGAAGTAGATTCAATAATAACATTCCAAAGCAAGAACACAGGAATGGGAGCTTTCCCGAAGAGTAGAGGCATGACGGACCCAATGGCTTCTTTGTGTTGTATCCTTTGTTCTGTAAATCTGAACTGTTTTTAATGTAACACATGAAAAGAAGAGCGTGACGACTGAATCCAGAATAACGCATGCTGTTAAGTCAACTCCCGTTTAAATCTTGATGCAAAGCTAGTAAAACCGTCAGAAAGCGAATTAAATAGAATAAATGTTGATTTTATAGCGCTCTCGTTTTTTAGGGGAGTGTGGATGTGTTTAAATGTACTATTTTTGATGTCCATATTTAGTTGTTGTCGGGGACAGTATCTTGGTATCCATGTGAGGAAGACTGGCCCCAAGAGCTAGCTTAATGCACGTCACACATCAATCGTTTTGGCTTCTCGTAACTGGCCTGATTAGAAACACGTTCGCTCAATCCCCATATTTCTGCCGCTACTTTTAACATCTGGGCAGTGCACCGTGCAGCGAAGATACAAGCACGAACTTCTCCAGTCATCTACTGTCCGCCCCATATTCAAGGCATTGCAACGACTGGTGGCGAATTCTGCTTATTGCAGCGCCTCATCCTGCTCCCCCCCCCCCCGCAAAAAAAAAAGACACCCCAGAGACTGTTGTACGATTTGTGCATAGATGTTATCCTTTATAAACATCAGCAATGTGCTCAGCGTTCTTCTCGAGATCTGTCCCAGCCTGAGAAATAGCAGTTGGCGAGAAAACACAACCGATGGATAAACTATGGCTGCTCGAGGAAGAAATACGTCAAGTAAATAGAGATTGTACTTAGCGATTCGTAAGTGTAAACTATGTGTTGGCGTAAGCTTATTGTAAAGTAAATATAACATTGCAATCGTGTCCAAACCTCAAAAGTAATCCATTGGCTGTAAAACACTTTGGTACAGCCTAATCACGAAAGGTGCTATATTAATGCAGGTTCTATCACTTTTTAACACACACATACCTCTGGTGCAATGTGCAGGTGAATTATTTTGAAAAATTCCGAACACAGTTGATAACGTGAAGTGTGCATTCATTGGTATTTACACTCCACTCGAAATGACTTTCTGTGGACATTTGCTATTTTTAATGCCATTTCCTCCCCTCTCCAACGCAGAAGAACATCATATTCCAGCAGCTGCTAAAATCGTTGGGAAATCCTGTGAATACAACGGCACCAGCTATCAGCATGGAGAGATGTTCGTGGCTGAGGGGCTATTTCTGTCTCGGCACCCAAACCAGTGTGCCCAGTGCAGCTGCTCGGTAGGTACACAATCTGCCAAGGGTCATTACAAAAACATGCAAGACAGAACTTCACCCTGGTCAGAGAACTCAAAACAACTTTCTTGTTTATTAACATTTCATGTCAGTTCAAACATTCTTTAAGCTTTAAAATGTATGTGTATATAGGGTATTGTTAAGATTCATTCACAGGATGTGTGCGTCGCTGGTTACAGGCCAGCTTTTGTTTTATTGCCCATCGTTAATTGCCCTGGCGTAGGTGGTGCTGAGCCGCTTTGGTGAATTGTTGCAGTCCTTAGGGTGAGTAAGGACACCGATGGTGGTATTAGGACGAGAGCTCCTGGGTTTTGGCCCAGTTACGGTGAATGAATTGTGAGATAGTACCAAGTCAGGATGACGTGAGGGGAACTTGCACGCTGTGGTGTTCCTGTACCTCTCCTGGCTATGTCCTTCTAGGTGAGTCAGGCAGTATCCGTGGATGTTTAGTGTTTCGAGTCCAGTGGCCCTTCTCTAGAAGGTCTCTCTGCTTTCTCTCCACAGATGCTGCCACACCTGCTGAGTTTCTGCAGCAACTTGTTTTTGCTTTTAGGTCTTCAGCGTCCGCAGTTTTTGTTTGTTTTATTATCCTTCCAGGTGGTACATGTTGCCGGTTTGCTGAATGCATTTAGAGAAGCCTAGGCAATTTACTTGCAGTGGATCTTAGTCATAATGTACACGTCTAACAAAATGGTAAATCACATCAGAATGATGAGGATCAGTCAAAAAAAATACACAGTACTTTCTTAGTTCATAGGTAGCTTGTCGTTAAAGTCAAAATATTACAAGTAAGCTTAGCAGGTGTGCTTTTAAAGCATACCTGGCCTCAGTAACTGCATTGAAAAACAACCATCTGAAGTCTTGAACAACTGCGTCCCTTGTAGCTTTACATAGCTTGAACTAACGGGATGTGAGTCTAGATAATAATGATTTTGTTAGAAAATATCGAATGAAAGCCTCACAGAAACTGCTGAATAGGTGGATTTCACTTGCAGACTGAGCAATTCCCTTGCAGCATATTTTACATGTCGAATGTTCGAGTCCCAGCACAATTCACGCAGTGAGGTGCCAAAACACACGTCGGCTTGTGGAAATTTATTTGCGAGATTGTTTTTCACTCGCTGTAGCGTCGGGAATGCCAAATTGATGGCGCCAAATTAATAGAAACATTTCATCTTAGCCAAGCTCTTAAGGCGGACCCATCGCACTGTGGTTTTTATATTTACTTTCGCACGAGAAAAATGAGAGTCTAAATTAAGTTTGTTTACACTCACATAAGCAAGTAACGATCGAAAAGAACCTGGTGGGAGCTGATTAAAAAGTTGAACAGAATGGATAATCTTACCTATCGGAAACGCAGAATATTTAACCATTTTAGTGCCTGTTAATAGATTTTGCTTCAAGTGTGCTATTTCCATAGTAATGTATCCTCTCGGGTACCATTGCTAGCAGAACTTAGTAGCGCATAATAGGCAAAAATATAGTTTCAAATAAAAGCTTACTTGTAGAAAAAAAGACAAAAGACGTGAATAAAAACCGAAAGAACTGCGGATGCTGCAAATCAGGAACAAAAACAAAGTTGCTGGAAAAGCTCAGCAGGTCTGGCAGCATTTGTGAGGGGAAAAAACAGAGTTTACATTTCGGGTCCGGTGATCCTTCCTCAGAACAGAGGAAGGCTCACCAGACCTGAAATATTAACTCTGTTTTTTCCCTTCACAAATGCTGCCAGACCTGCTGAGCTTTTCCAGCAACTTTTTTTTGTTCCT